AACGGAAGGACTGTTCAATCAGCTCATGCATGTACTCCCCAAGGAGATTCAGCGTTGATTGCAAACGTGGCACATGCTGACAGTTCGTTTGCATTAATCTGTGCCGTTGCGAGACTTGACTGGCTTTACGTCCAGTCGGGAACGTCCTGTCTCACCAAGTTTTCGACGATGTCGAGCTGTTGCTTGCAGCTGTCTCGTGCTGCGTCACCAAAACCGTAGTGGTTTTCTGGAAGAGTGACTCGAGCTTGTTGTGAGACTCTATCAACGCATGATGAAGGCTGTTGATCATGTCCACATGGTCCTGCGAGTTGATGTTCTGATCCGATGGATCCATGTTGGTGGTCGTGCGTTCATCCTCTTCCGGCGGTGGTGGTGGATACGGTGGAGTGCACGGAGCCGGTGGTGGCCTGCGGTGGCTCCCGAGTCGTCCTTCATCTCGTCAATGGTGTGCTTGGAGCGGCGGTCCTTGCGAAATTGCTCATGCTTGGGTCGCTCCATCATGGCTTTGTGCATGGGCTGTAGTCGGCCACTCATTGCTGCTTTGTACATTCCCTTAGTTAGTCGCAAAACACTGTAAATGGCTGCGGAAAGGGAAATTGTGATGCGGACTGTGTGGGAAAGCAAACTTCGGATATGTGCGAGCACATGATAATGTTGCGGATGTTTTCGAGGCAGCGGCGAATCCACTGCGCTTCATATCCTGCCCTCTCATACACCTGGGAGAGCTGCTCCATGGCTTGAGTGACTGCCTGCTGTGGGGTTGCTAGTCGGCGCGCCAAAATGGCGCGGGCTGCCAAACTGCTACGCAGCACTGTGGATGGTGATGCTGAGTGTGGAGAAAGAATGTCCGTTAGGTGGCGTGTTGGTATGTATTGAATGCTGTAGTTGTGTGGTTGGACGGTGAATCCGAGAAAATCGGGACCTGGCTCTGTCTCGAGATGTATGGGGCGGCCGTAAAATTGGGGGGAGAGGAATTGTTGAAAATGCGTGTTGCGGCGTGTGCATGTGGGGATGAGACATAGTCGATTGTCGACGTATCTCGTGGCGAAGAAGCCGCTGATGGTGAACATGGGTGGTGTGGTGTGTTTTGGATTGTAGGTAAGGTTGCGGTAAGTGTGGGTCCATGATTGCTCGCTGACCGCGACGACCATGTCGCACAGCGCGGGACTGGCCGGCGAGCCCATGGGGGCTCCTCGAATTTGTTGGAGAAGTGTGTTGCCAACCAAACAGTAATTTAGCAGTAACACTGCCGAACAGATGTCTGGTAGGTGTGTCAGGTGGATGGTGTGTCTGCGGGATTTTGCGAATCGGGCGCGTCCTCTGTGAACTCGTATGGTGGGGTCTGGCTCTTGGTGTGTTGCTGTGAATACCGTGGCGTGTATTGCGTTTTTGCCTCTGTACCACTGTGTCATTAGGTTGAGGCTGGCGAGAAATCTTTCTGTAGAGATGCTTGTGAAGAAACCGGAAAGATCTTGGTTGTAGATGTCGACGTCAAAAGCTTCATCTGCTGGTGCTGTGCTGAGGGTGTGGAAGGCTTGTCTGAGGGAAAAGAGCTGGTGATGTGCGTCGCCTGTGGGCATGCCTGTCTCAGCATGAGGTAAATGATGTCTGCAAGGCCATGCGTGAGTGAGCGCATCATGGCTCCCACGAAAGATACGATAGGCCTGCCCTTGGCATATTGTTTTATCACCTTGGGCAAGGTACACGCGGTGGGGAGTTTTCCCCAATCCCGAAGCGCCCAGCGACACTGCGGCAGGAGCTTGGTGATGTTGTTGTAAGTGTCGAGATGGTGTGTTAGTGGTGGTGAGTCGATGATCCGAAAGACGTCGGGGTCGAGAAAGGTGGCACTTACTGCCTCGTAGTATGCGTAAGGGCAGTACCACACAAGCCTGTTGGGGAAGTGGTCTTCACAATGTGTGACGCCATCGGGAATGTCCTTGATGGCGTTCTTGATGATGTGGATGTTGATGGATCGTTGCAAATGTTGGCAGTGTAGTAGTAGTTGGTGTTCCACAAAATTCAGTGTTTCTTTGTCCTGCGGTGTTGGGATCGGGAGGTGGTGTTGTCGGTGCCACCGTTGTAAGGCACCTAGTCAATGCTTGTCTGAGCATGTTTGTAGAGGGGAAGAAAATGCTTTTGCCGGAGTACTGCAGAAAATGCTGGTCTGGCGCAAGCTTGTGCAATGGCAGCACAACGCGGTTGTTATAAATGTGGTTAGGGTATTTATTGTGGAGTTGTTGGCAGGTGCATTTGGGAGGGCTGTGTGGTTGCCATGTTCTGTGGAGCTTGCGCCAGTTGTGTAAGTGGTCTTGGACACGAGGATGTCGCGTGAATACGACTGTTGTGGTTGGTGGGTACAGTGGGATGGTGTGTTGTTTGTGTAAAGTGATGCGTTGCCGAAGGTACTGCGACGTGTCGGTGCGCTGTGCGGGGTGTGACAGGTAGGGTAGTGTCACTGGGAGTCGTACCCTGGGTGCTGGAAGCTTGCGTTTTTTCAATGCAGTTCCGATGGTTTTTGTTGCTGGTCGCTGGTGGGTTGTTGGTAGATTGTTGGAGAACTTGTGCAGCGCGTAAAGTTGTGCTGCGGGTGTACGTCTTTTCAGCAGTTCTCGTGTGCTGTCGAACCGACGTTTTGTGTTCGAAGCAAGATCGCAAATGCCAAACTTGGCTTTGGCGTTGAAACGTCGATGATTTGTGTAGTGGCAGCATGGCCGGTGGAAGGTGTTTGCGTCGTAGTTTGGTCCACATGGACTTGAGTCCGGACCGTGAAGGTATGTAGTTGTAGTAGTTTTGGTGTTGACGCCACCAGCGTAAAGAGCTCAGCGTCGACGATCGCGTCTTTCTGTAATTGTCTGAATTTTCTGTTGCGATTGCTTTCTCAGGTCTGCATGTTGTTGCGTGTGCAGCCGATGTAAACAAACCGGGATGTTTTCGGCTGGTGGTAACTCGGGCGTAAATCACGCCGGTGTTTGTGAAGTGGTCAAAAGTGTATGTGGAGTAATGTAATTGCGTGCGCTGGCACAGCAGTCGTATGGTTCGTAAGTGGCCACGTTGCTTTTTGCTGTGAAACCTGTGTGCATGTAGAAGAGTGCATCGGCCAAGTAGCCATAGGCAGACTTCATGTGCTTTGCTTGAAGAGGACTCCCATCACGTTCGTCCGTGTCAACGCGCAATGGGCGAACTCGTTCTTGATCAGTGAGCTCAACATAAGCCTTGATCCTGTCCTTATGGTCCGCGATGTTGCCGAGGTAGGTTCTGGTGTCCTTCCAACTTTGGTGATAAGTTTGTTGTCGGCCATGAAGATACGAAGTTGAAGTAGTTGGTGGATTGTAGGTTGGCGTAGTCCTGAATCGCGGCAAAGGCGGCGGGTGGGGGTCCTCCCTGGCGTGTCGACGGACCCGGGCCGAAGTCCCGGTTTGCTGGTGATGACACAGGCCATGAATGCTTTGGCGGCGGTGGTGGTGGCTGCTGCTGTTGCTGAGCCGCTTGGCCCGACCCGAAAGCATCTGAAGGGCGATCTCCGATCATGCCAGGTCCAGAGACCAGAACAATGGGTGCACGGGGAGGGCTGTCGGAGGGTGCGCGCTGCACTGGCTCCTGTTGCACCGATACACTGCGTGTACGCTCCAGCGGAGCTTGTCTGCTGCGCACTGGTCGCCTGGATGTGCATCTGCTTGGGCCGCGCCGACGGTGCGAATGTCGGCGATGGCGTGCTTGTCCACGGCCATGGTTAGAAGAGCGAGGCCGGGAGCGCGTAGATCTATCTCCGCCGGTGGGCAGGTGTGCGAGAACGGCGACGGCTATCACGCCGGTGACGGCGGTGTCTGGACGGAGTGCGTTGGCTTGGGGCTTCTGGAGCGCCGGCGTGGCTCCGAGCGGCGACGGCAAGACCGAGCCCTGGAATCCCTTCTGTCCCGGGTGTTGTTACGACCTCCAAATGGAACATTGGACAAACCTTGCTGTGGTGGCATGCCCTGCTGCATGGGGAGGGGCACGAACATTGGAGCATACGGTGCCGCAAGCGGCGCAACAGATGGAGAGCAAGGGCCCATGTTGGGCAGCGGAATGCAGGCGCCGCTACGGGCGTCGTACAACATCCTAAATCAGGATATGATAGCAGAAAATTCACTTGCAGCACGAAAGCTACGGCATGACATGGACAGTTCAAGCAAAACCTGGCAGCCTCACTTCTACGGGCCTCGCAACCTTGGAAATCAGAAACCCCAACAAGTTACACTTCTAGGGAAGCCTCCTGCGTGCATGCACTTGCAGACGAACATGAGCATGGTCAAACGCGAACCCTCACTGCATGAATCCTGCCTGAGTCGAGATACCTGAACCCTTTTCTCAAGAAAGCCGTGCATATGCAGTCGCTCTAACAACAAGCGTCAACCCTGGCGTCCGCTCCAGAGTGAACTATGTCTTTGAGAGTCTGCTCGTCAACGTCCCACATGCGCTAGCGCGGGCTCCGGCGTAGCCGGCTGTGATCTGGCCCCATGTCGNNTAGGCTTGGCGAGAACTGATGAGGCGAACCTCGAGCATCGTAATGCAATGACAGATTACAGCAACCGTACAGAATCATTGAGGCCAATGATTGCAACAGCGTCTTGGGGTACTTTGGGCTGGCCTTCCTTTGCAGGTACACCAAGCTGATCAGGCTTGGCTTCCCTCTCTGATGCACAGCTTCGTTGGGTACGGTAGCATTAGAGAGCCGTACCCCCCTGCAGTTATGTACACCTAGCTTCCAGAATCATGCCGCCATGTTCAGGCGTTTGCACACACACACACACGCTTTATTTTGCAGAACGACGGCTGCACCGTATGCCGACGCTGCCAACTCATGCAACATGGGTGCGTCACCAAAGAAGTCCTATAGTCCTATATTTCCACAGGTCGGCACGCGCACGTGAGTGAGTCCAAGTGCTGAGCCTTGCCCGCCCCGGTCCCCTCCTTCCCTCACCCTGCGGCTTAACCTTTTCAGCAGCAAGGGACGTCAGCCTTCAGCTGTGGAGATACGTGGGCCACTTCCGAAGCAGGTAGGCCTGGCACACGCAGAGGGAGCTGCAGACGCAGACTCCTGCTCAGTAGACTCTGGGGGCTCTGGGCTCCCAAGCGTTCAGCAGCCGCCGGAGCGCCGGGCTGAGCTGGTCGTAGGCTTCCTCTGGCGCTGCTCTTTTTTTTGGAACCTCCTACTTAAGCCTCCCTTTTTTTCCAGTGAAGAGCAAGGCCCCCCTTTCGCCTGGGGCAGGAGAGCGACGGTGCTGCAGTCGACGGCTCGTAAAGTGCCCGGGTGTGCCTCGAGGCTTCGCAAATTTTCTCCATGCCCGCTACCGAAACCTACCAGTCCATGTCCGTCAAGGTCGGTCAAGGGGCCATGTTTGCAAGGAAGGCCCGAGCAGTGCTGAAGGGCCCTGCACACCAACTGCCCTGTCGCTGATGGATCGAAGCTTTCTCGAAAACGGATCCGGCTTCGAGGCCTCAGCAGGGCCATCTCCCACAGCTCGCGGCTTCTACATTCTACCGGTGGAGTCCATGTAGAGGAACAGAGGTAGTTGCATCATGGAAAACTGAGAGCTGGGAATAGCACTGTCGCAAACTGGCAACAGCATCAGCATCATGCAACACACTCACCTTGACCTTGGCATGCAAGACCACTTGAGCAAAGCAACAAGCAGCCCACGTCGTGGAGTGTGAAACAAAACCTGAACCATGAACACTATACTCCGTCCGAGAACTACAAGTTGGACAATAATGCCCAGTAGGTCACTATGTAGCACATAGCATGTTAACAAACAGTCTGCCGCACAACATGCACCAGTTAATTGAACAGGTACTAGCTTCACGTTTCTCCGACAAGGAAATGTCATGTAGACCACGTGTTCCACTGCTCATGCCTCAGAAGCTGAAGCATGGAGAATCACACAATCCCATGCTTCGTCAAAAACACGCTGCCAGATTGCAGCAGGACTCAAGCGCTTTCCCGGCAATGGGGGGCATCGTATCAGACGAGGAATACGGTGGAACACAAACATAATAATGAGCAACACAGGAAACGGTTCGCCAAGAGTAATTGAAGAGGACCTGGAAAGAAAAAGAAGTTAATCGCCACGCGACGGTTCTGGTCCTGAAAGACGCGCACGGACTGCTCCGTCTCGTTTTCCGGGTTCCAGATGTGTTCCACCTTATGACAGGTGGAGATGTGGGGCGGGGCCTGCGATCGCAGCTGCGCAAGCGCGGAAGTTCCGCTCTCTCTCGGCTTCTCAGAGGAAGAAGGAAAAGGACACGGCCGAGGGGCAGAGCCGAGCAGCAGCCAAAGCAATGGCGGCGACTGACCCTGAGAAAAGGCTGAAAAGTTGGAGAAATGCCCGCTTGTCTCAACAATATTTGTTATGCTTGCTTCAAATCCTTGCTGTATTGGCAGGGCATGCATGTCTAAAGGTGACATGTACGTGTACTGTAAGTGACGTGGAGGATTGCGTTTCGGCCAACCTGGACTTCTCGTGCCTTCTTTGCCATCGTCTCACTCAGCCCCCCCCCCTTCACCCCCCCCCCCCCCTTTTTTTTATGGCATTTGGGGGGGAGGGGCCCAAGAAACTGTCTTTTCCTCAGCGCCGGCCTCTGACATCCACGCACCTCCCCGAGGTTGGCGCTGGAACTTGGGCGCGGAATAGACCATCCCGGAGCTCCTCCCATGCACTCGAAAGGCACACTCTAAGAAGAAGACCGATCTGTGCACGCAGTCTGAGAGCAGCCCCCTCTTGCATCTGTTTCAAGAGCTTTGACAGCAGAGTTCAACCAATGCGATGCCACTGCCTACTGCAAGTTTCTCGCAAGCTCCAACGGTCGAGCCTCTAGAAGGTCCCGCTCCTGGGAGCAGCCCAGCAATCCTGCGACCTTTTCTGGCCCCGATCCCCCGAAGCTCCTGCAGGTGGCCTGCCTGGTCTTGGGAGCAGAGTAGACCACGTCCCCCTTCCTGGCAGACGCAGACGCAGAGCAGAGCTCCCTCCATCGCTCCTGAACTGAGACAGCCGATCTGACTAACTCCTGAACTGAGACAATCTGAATCGAAGTCACATAAGCCCTCACATCTTGCCATTCATCCTGAACTGAGACCGCCTGAAGAACTCTCACATCTTTTCCATCTCCCAGGGTTTGGAGGGAGCCGCCGAGAGGCTGCAGCTTTCGGATCTCCAGGAGCGGCACCAGCTCGGAGAGAAGCTCCGGGTTGTAGCTCGGAAAGTAGCCGTCCAACCACACCTCTCTCTTTTCAAAAAGCCGACCAAACCCCCCCCCGGTAGAGCTTTTTGGTCCGAGCCACGTGGAAGTCCACGTGCAGCCCGGCCAGAGGCGACTGCATGTCCACATGCCGGGAGAGCAGGTCCCTGGCACCAAAGAAAGGCGCCTAAAGCTCCCTCTCTCTCTGCGTCTCTTTTTGCGTCTCCGTTTTGTCTGCGTCTCCGTTTTGCGTCTCTGCGGGGCCTGGCCTGAGGTTGCCGTGGGTGTGGCCCCGGCACTGGCCCGGGGCGGGCTGGTAGGAGCGCAGGAAGGCCTCCTCCACCCACTCCACCGCCTCGACAAAAAGAAGGGACGAAGGGACAGAGAAGACAGCAAGGCAAGCAACAAAAAAGAAGCCTTAAAGGGAGAGTGAGGGAAAGTCTCGAACTTCAGCCCTCCCCCTGGAGCCCTGCCCTGCCCTGCCCTGCCGCGTCCAAGTTGTGGGCCACCAGCAGCAGCTCGGGCGCCGTGCTCGCTGCGGGCGCCTGCATTTGGAGCGCGGCGACGATGCCGGCCGCGAAGGGGCAAGAGGGAGGAAGTCGGGGGGAGGGAGGGGGAGTGGGAGTGGGCGGGCTGATGACGACATGGTGATCGCGACGTTACGATGGCGACGTGATGATAATGATGCTGATGATGATGATGATGATGATACTTTCGAGCTCTTGCAACAACTTCTTCTGCTATACTCCGGGAAAGCTCCAGGGGACATGACCCCCCAGGCATATTTGCCGAAAAGAGCACTACTCTACCCTGTCCTTCTGTTTGAAGCCTCACCTGGTCCTGGAGCTCGGCCAAGGGCAGCCCGAAGTTCTGCATTTGCAGGATCAAGGAGCTCTGCACGTGAGCGAGGATCAGCGTGCAGCCCAGCTCTTTGGCCACGCTCCTCAGGAAAAAAGGCCCCTGAGCCTCCCCTAACCCCAGACAGAGCCCAATATACCCTCTAAGCTAAGGAATATATGCCTTAAATTTTATAGGGGCCTCAATATTCTTAGCTTTAAGGAACATATTCCTTTAATTGAGGAGTAAACTGGGCTATCTGGGCATGCCTGCAAGCCAAGGCTCAGCACCTCTTGGAAGGCGCTGACCGCCTCGGAAGTTTCAAGGTGTCTTTTTCTGTGTTCTGCTGCGGGCTTCTGCGAGGAGCCGTGCACTCCATCTGCTGGACCATGTCGAAGTTCATGATGATGTAGAGAGGGTGGGGCCGGGCCTGCATAGGCATAGACTGAAAAAGGGTGCAGAAAAGCTGCGCGCCCGCTCGCCTCGCAGCTGATGGCGTGGGAGAAGGCGAAGTCGGGGAGCTCTTCGGAGTCGGAGGGCGAGGTAAAGCGCAGGTGATGCCTCGAAAGAGCTCCAGAGGCCAAGCGCATGCGAGGCGGTGCGCCGTTTGAGTCTCTCGAAACTGCCTTAAGAACGAGAAGAAGGCACCAGTGGCCCCCGACTTTCTCTGTGTATGGGTGGTCGGATGGCCAACATGGAGTTGATGACCGTGCTCGGTCAGTGCATGGCGGAGCACCGCCGGCAGAGCGTCAAAACGTGAACGCAAAATGCTTGCACTTTCTATTCTCGCCATGACATGGACTTAGCTAGCCCACGGAACCTAGCCCTCAGACGAGCACAACAGCTCAAGACACGAGCACTTGCACAGCAAACATACCCGAAGCCGAACACTTCAACTGGCTGCTGCCAGGTTTCTGGCTGTTGAAGTTCTCCAGCTCCTGAGCATCAAGCAGGGCTCGCATGACGCATCAACTCGGCCTTTACGCTCTGCGGGTCCTCGACAATCTGCCGCATGGACGCAAAGTAGAGGTAGCCGGTGCCCAAGGTCCAGACTTCCGCCTCTGTCACTCTCGGCGCTGAGACTCTTCCTAGAGTCCGCGGGTCGGACGTTTTGCAGTCCCTGTCTTCAGCCCCAAACCCAAGAACCCCAAAGAGAGAGCCCTCCGACCTCCGCGCCGCGGCGGTTCAAGTACTCCGTGTCGCAGGTGGTGTGGAGCACGGAGCTTCGGATGTGCCCCAGCGTCTTCTGGGACCGGATCACGGGGATGCTCGCCAGCTGGCCCGAGACGATGCCCAAGACAGCCATGAAGCCAAAGAGCATCATCGGCGCCGTGCCCACCGCCACGTAGAAGAACACCATGATCCAGACCTCCCCGAAGACAACCGAAAGGGGCCCAAAAAAACCCGTTAAGGGGGAGGAGACAAGGGCCGAGCCCTGAGGCCCCGGGCCAGGCAGTACTCGTAGACCCGCAAAAAGCGCCGGGAGTTCCAGACCCAGAAGGCCATCAGCTCGAAGGAGAGCCAGATCAGCACGGAGCCGGGAAGGAGCTGACCAGGGCCAGGGGGAGATACAGGGCTCTCTCCCTACTCTTCACGACTTGAACTCGGGCATCCCGAAGTCTCCTTTCCATCGCGCCCTGACACTGCTTTTTTGTTCGGAAACTCTCCCTCGCAGACCACTCGAGCTTTCGATCTCCAAAGTGCCCAATTTGAGTGCTATAGTTGGAACCGGCGAAATCTCCGGAACCCGTCTCAAGTCTCGCCTTCGGCAGCACGGCCACGACGTAACCCCCCGCCACGAAGGCGGCGGCCGAGAAGCCCAGGAGCAGCATCTGAAACTGCCGGCCTCAGAATTGTGCGCACGTGTCCTGCCCCCCCCATTTT